CCCCAGTAAAAGACAGCGAGGCCGTTGAGCGACGCCGCCGTCAAGTTCATCCACGCCCAGAGGATGCTGAGGCCGCGGCACTTGGAGTAGAACTCGTCCTTGAGCAGCTGCGCGACGAGGCAGGCGGTCCAGACGCCGGAGGCGAGCCACCCGAGCGTCGTGCCCACGTAGCAGTTGGTCGGCGACGGCAAGAGCGCGGTGTTGGCCACGTCCTTGCAGTCGAACGAGACGCCCCAAAGACGTACGACATGAGGAGGAGCAGACTCACCGTGAGCGCCGTCGCGAGAAGCGTCACCGCCGTCAAGTGCCGCTGCATGAACGCGTAGTAGAAGGACTTGGGCGGCGACATGGTCTCGTCGTTGCAAGAAGAAAGAAAGAAATCGCCAAGTGACAGAGACAACGGGGTGCTGGCGTCTGTCGGTTGGGTACGAGTAGCCATTAAGAACGCAGTGACAGCTCCCTACGGTATTACCAGTGACGTGCGCAACAGCTTGCACTGTCAAGCCAAGGCCATCGTAGGTTGCATCGCGAGGACAGTGCCTTGAGAGAAGGAAGCTGTCTTCCTCCACTCGACTCGTAGAAGCAAGCACGGAAATCGCCCATCGATCGCGTCTGCGACCTGACAGACCCTGACAAAGACAGCGATAGATGCGTCACCTTGTGTCGTCCGGATCACGTTGCGACGTGCTGTCACCACAGACTCCTAACTCTTGCTACGGTCCATCGATCCGACGACAACAGTGACTTCCGAACCGTGCCGTGCATTCATCTTAACGGCGTTCACTACAGGCAGTGTCGAGTCCAGCAGCGCAATCACATGTCGTCGTCTATGGAGCACCGTCAGTCGCCGGCACCACATCGAGCAAGCACGTACCCAAGTCCATGCGGAAGTCGCTTTCGCGGAAGAGCGATGTCCGCCGCGAGCCCATAATGTCGCTGCCCATGTAGCTAAAGTCTTCAAAGTGCATCGTGTGGCGGCCCGGCGCGTTGCTGTCGAGCATCGACGTGACGACCGGCGAGTCAGCGACCTCTTGCTGCAGAAAGCCCGGCGGTACATACCTATCCATCCAAATCCATGGATCGATGCTATCCACTGGAATACAACGTACCGCAGCGCGTCTTGGGTCTGCGCAATGTGCGGGCGGAACGGCGGCTCGAGGCGCCGGTCGTAGAGCGCCTGCCAGTCCATGCCGCGGAACCACTCGTGCTGCATAATGTCCATGGGCCCGCTGTTGTGGCCGCAGCCGAGACGCCGCGTCGGGTCCTTGACGAGGAGGCTTTGCAGAAAGTGGGTCGCGATCGGTGAAAAGAGCTCGGGCGAAAAGTCCGGGTCGCGCGTCAAAATGTTTTGAAACATGGTCCGGCGGTTCTTGTCGTAGAACGGCGTTTGGCCGCGAATCATCTCGTAGACGAGGACGCCGTAGCTCCACCAGTCGACCGACTTGCCGTACGACGTGGCCGTGCGCTGGGAGCTCAAGAGCTCCGGCGCGAGGTACTCGGGCGTGCCCACAAAGGTCGAGCCCTCGTCGTCCTCCTTCGACAAGCCAAAGTCCGTGATCGCAATGTGCCCGTCCGCGTCCATCAAGATGTTTTCCAGCTTGAGATCGCGGTACATGATGTGCAAGTTGTGCAAATGCGTGATGGCGAGCACGAGCTCGGCCGCGTAAAAGCGCGCGCGCGCCTCGGGAA